CATAACTACTATTTCTTAAAGATCAACAAAATGTGTATATGTGCATTATGGAACAAATTCATGTACAATTGCCAAATAAACTCAGGGAAAGTGGTGGCTATTTTAGTTGTATGCTCCATGTTCTGACCATTTCTTTCCTTACACGCTCGAATACGCTACTGGAAATTCTTAATAACACTACGGCATGTTTTTTGGGTCGATTCTTAACACATCCCGTTTAACATTAAATTTGAACTATTCGATTGTTTGTTGATTGTTTCCGTAGCCTCTGTTAGAAAAAGAAAAAAATGAAAAAGAAAAATAAGAAACGCAGAGAAAATAATCGAGGGAATACGGTGACCGTTTCTTTGTAAGCTCTCGGCGTATGAGGTGTTTCCCAAACCGTTCTTGCAACCATGCAAGGGCCACTCTTGATGTGTGGGGTTTTGGCTCCCTCCTTCTGGAACCATGCCTCCTCAACACCATAACTCCTCTTCTTCCAAATTTCTCCTTAACTTTAACCCCTTCACTGCTGAAAAATTTCCACCAACATCTGTACCTACAAGATTAAATGTTAATTCAAGGAATATTTAAACACAGAGAATTGTTTCAGAATAAGCAAAATCACCAGCTGTAACTAAAACAACTAAAACTTTTGTCAACCAGATGAAACAATATGAGTGGAGAATACAAGCCAGAGCATACGTCTACCCAGCAGTGAACAGGTTAAGAGCACGGCGAGGTAAATCCATCTGGTGTGACTGAAGTTCATAGTTTCATCGTTCTCGTCCTGAAATTAGAATAGGCCGACCATGCCCTGGTGGCTGAATGCTTAAGAACTAGAGTTTTGTAATTTACCCAGTTTTGTTGTTGAGTTTTTTAAATTTGATGATTCTCGAAGACGTTAATTAATTGTCTTCATATTTGCAAAATTGCGTTCACTTGGTTGAATTTTATTTGCCTGAAGATTTGTTTTGTTGAAATTGATGCAAATATGACGGAGTTATAGCTTTTGAATGGGCCCTCTTGCTCTGAGAAGTCAGGTACATAAATATTTGCTGTACCTTGAGTCGTAGAACGGGGCTCGAAATGTGCACCCTTTTTATTCCGTTACGGAAATTTTTTCGGAATGCACCGACACACTGAATATGCAAATTGGTTTATCGATGATGACGATATCGAGTAAACCTACCGGGTGTGACAAAATAATGTTGACACGTGGACTTAGAGACTATACAAACAATATACCCTTCAGATCTCATTGTACGAGTGAGATTCTTTTAGTTTAGAGGTCCTACCCAAAAATGTTTCGTTCCTTTTTTATATGCATGAACACAGTTTTTATTACTCGCACACAAACACACACACTCACTCACACACACACACACACACACACACACACACACACACACACACACACACACACACACACACACACACACACACACACATCCACACGTACACCCAAGGTGTCTCAAAGGTGGATGATGGATTCTACTAATAGTGTATGTTTGTTTATTAAGGCTTCATTGTTCTGAAAGCAGCATAATATCTTATTTCCCCTTCATCCATTGCAGAGCAATGTAGTCCTGTGACTTTTTAGACACTCTGTACATGACAAATATCTATGAATAACAAGCAGTACTTAGTGTGCCCACAAAAAAGACAAAATTATGGAGTTTTTCACCTCCAAAAAGGTCAAGGTCTCAGTGGTAATAATTTCAATAACAGAATTGTTGACGGTTCCACGGAAGTATGAGGTGGAGATTTACGAAAAAACCAAAACCGCAAAGCAAGTTCCATCACTGTTATTGATTACAGTACAGTGTGAAAGACAAGAAAAACCCATAAGCACGAAGAACAGGAAAATGGAACAAACTTGCTTAATTAGTCCAGTACTTAAATTGGAGTTGGGCATTCGGATTAACAAACGTCTAGGCTGAAACGAAGTCTCGGAATAAAAAGAGTGAGAGAGGTAAGAGAGTGAGTGAGAGAGAGAGAGAAAGAGAGAGAGAGAGAGAAAGAGAGAGAGAGACAGAGAGAGAGAGCGAGAGAGAGCGATATAGATAGATAGATAGATAGATAGATAGATAGATAGATAGATAGATAGATAGAGAGTGAGAGAGAGAGAGAGAGAGAGAGAGAGAGAGATAGAGATAGAGAGAGGTTCTTTTTCTATAGTGTTTATGGTCAAATGACCAGCTTCTCGCCAAAGCGGGTTAGAAAACTCAATGAAAAACTTAATGGAAAACAACCCCCCCCCCCCGTAAAAAAAACCCAACAAAATATAACACAAACCAACCAAAAAACAACAACAAAAAATAAACGAACAAACACAACTAATCTCGATACTAAACGAACGTAAGAGGTCCATGCACACCAACAATAATATTAATCGTTACCCATCTAATACTTTAAAGGAGAATCGATACAAAAAGAAATGACTGGTGCTTATTTCCTCTGCACTGGGAACTTTGCTGTATCTTCTTGGTATTTCCTTGAGCAGGATACAAATCCAGAGTATGTACCATCTGCATTAAAGAGCATGTCGATGCTGTCCCCTCAATCTCTCTCTCTCTCTCTCTCTCTCTCTCTCTCTCTCTCTCTCTCTCTCTCTCGCCCTTTTTAACTCCCAGTGGAGCACAGGCCACCAACAGCATTACTCCAGCAAAGCCTGTCCTGAGCATCCTTTTCTATCTGTTTCCTTGATTTTCCCGCTTTTTCAATTTCCGCTTATACCGCTCGCCTCCATGTCATCTTAGGTCTTCCCTTCTTACGTTTTCATTGTGGGTTCCACGTTAAAGCACGCCTGATGATGCTTGTCGGGGGTCTCCTCAGGGTGTGTCCAATCCATTTCCTAGTGACTCGATCGTACCACTTGATCCCCACTATCCTTCGTAGGCATCCATTTACGAAGCTCTGCAGTTTCCTTGCTGCTGTTGCTGTGAGCCTCCATGTCTCTGAATCATACAGTAGAACAGTCTTCACGTTTGTTTTGAAGATCCTCAGCCAGGTGTTCAACACCAGTTCCTTAGACATCCATATATTCCTGGGAATGATGAATGCTGCTCTTGCCTTTTGGATTCGTCTGTTCCCCCTTCCTTGTTGATAACACTTCCCAGGTAGGTGAAGGACTCAACATCCGCCAATGGTGCCCCTTGCAGTGTGATAGGAACGTTGGCTGCATTCATTTTGTAGAACTTTCGTTTTATCCATGTGAATATGGAGTCCAACACTACGGTAGAAGGTCCTGAGGCGATCTGTTTTCTGTTGCATCTGGGCTCGACAGTGAGAAAGAAGTGCCAAGTCGTCGGCTAAGTCCAAGTCTTCCATCTGACTGGAAAGGGTCCACTGTATGCCACCGCGTTGTTCCGATGTTGTCTGTCTCATTATCCAATCCACTGCTAATAAAAAGAGAAAAGGCGATAGCAGGCATCCCTGTCTCACTCCTGTATTCACTTCAAACGAGTCTGTCGGCTGCCCTCCAAGCATTGCAACGCATTCCTTCATACATCTTCTTGATCAATCTCACGAACTTGTCAGGTATTCCGTAGTGGCGCTTGAGCTTCCGTATTGAGTCCCTATCTAGGCTGTCAAAAGCTTTCTCGTAGTCAACAAAGTTAACGTACAGGGAAGAGTTCCACTCTGTGGACTGCTCCACTATTATCCTGAAAGTTGCAATCTGATCTGTACATGATCTCTTTTTACAAAATCCTGCCAGCTCATCTCTTAGTTTTGCATCCACGCTTCCCTCAGTCTTTCCACTATGGTACGACTTAAAATCTTCCCCGGAATGGAAAGGAGCATGATTCCTCTGTAGTTTTTACACTCATGCAGGTCTCCTTTCTTGGGTAGTTTCAAGAGCAATCTCTCTCTCCAATCCAGTGGAAATTTTTCGCTGTCCCATATCTTGCCAATATTTTCATGAAGAATCCCTGCCGCAGAGTCGATATCCGCCTTGAGAACTTCTGGGGGAATTCCATTTGGGCGCTGTCTTGCCTGCTTTCTGGTGTCTTATCGCCTCCTTGATCTCCTCTAAACTAAGCTCTCGATCTAGAAGAGTGGGAAACAGAATGAAAATCGTTCAATCACCGACTTCCCTGTTTCATTTTCTTCCAAGGCCTCCTTTTTAAGGTACCATATTATGTCATCAAGTTTGATAGAAATGTATATCAAAATGTTAGATCAAACGTTATTGAACATTTTCTTCCTCTCATATAAGTGAAAGTGTCACACAGGAGGGAAAGAGACATACAGGATAGTGGACTGATAATGTATGCATTGCAGAATAATAAATAAAATATTTACCTCTGGCCTACTTTAAAACGTAAATATTTTTAGCTTATTGAAGGTGTAGCGCGTAATATTTCAAAATTCATCTCCTGTAAGACTGAATGAAGAGGATGGAAATCTCTCCCTCCCTCCCTCCTCTCTCTCTCTCTCTCTCTCTCTCTCTCTCTCTCTCTCTCTCTCCCTCTCTCTCTCCCTGGAGAGATAGATAGACATGTCGATAGATAGATAGATAGATAGATAGATAGATAGATAGATATATAGATAGATAGATAGATAGACAGATAGATAGATCGATTAATAGATAGGTAGATAGATAGATAGATAGATAGATAGATATATAGATAGATAGACAGATAGATAGGTAGATAGATAGATAGATAGATAGATAGATAGATAGAGAGAGTGAGAGAGAGAGTGAGAGAGAGAGAGAGAGAGAGAGAGAGAGAGAGAGAGAGAGAGAGAGAGAGTGGAGACCCCGGATGTCCGTAGAAGGGTCAAGTAGGCTTTGAACGGAGGGCAAAAGTCAACTGTTACCAAGACAACAGTTGAGCCCTCCAAACGGTCGTGACCTATTTGAGCCTTTTGGGGAGCAGCGCAATATATGAAAACAAACCCAACCCAAACAAAACAAAAGAAAAAAACAACTGAACAAACAAACAAATTAACTCAAAGGACATCAAAATAAAATAGTAAACTTCTGCCGGACAGAAAAAAGTGCAACACGAATATTTCAAAAGCCTCTTTATTAAACCTTTTTTCCGCCAACGTAAGTCACTCGGACAAGAATGTAAAACGACAGGTTCTAGTCAATCCAAACAATGTTTCCACAATGTCAATTCATTTAATTTTTTTCATGTTGGGAAATCCGAAAACACAATAAACAATTCAAACCACCCGCCAACAATGAATTACTCGCAATGCCTATTTTACAGCCTGTACATCCATGAATTTCGTGTTGCTATACAGTCTTCCTTAATAACGATACGGTCCCGGTCTGCTCAGCTTTGAGAGGGTCTTGCAGCATTCGTTGGCTCCTGTAGCCTGGGGAAAGATAAGGAAGAAGAACATGTTAAGATACATTAAGAAATAAAGCATACGTCTTTCAGGATTAGTATTTGAATCAATGTATTAAGCCCGTCTGGTTGGTAACATTTCATGTGCATTATTATTATTGTTATTTAATATTAATCTTTAATGCAGTCTTGGGCTGGATTCTTTGAAGGGGAAGACAAGTTTGGAGTGCGTCTGTCCAGGTACTGTTTTGTAGTATTCTACCCAGTCCTATACAACAGTCAGGGTTAAAGTAACCCGTGTCCTCACTTACCCCAGTTATGTTGAGAAATAAGCCGTTGGTAAAGGTTTTGCAGAACTTAAAACAAATAATGAGGCACACATATTTCATTAGCGTAGAAGTAGAGAAAAAATCTCAAGATGCCGTCATCTATTTGTTCTCTGAACTCGTCTTTCATAATAGTGTAGACCGATTTCTGTGTCCTTATTTGACCTAACGACGCCTTTTTCGTAAAAATCGATCTGGTTATAAAGAAAGTACAAAATCTGACAACTACTTTAAAAAAGTAAGACAGATCGTTGGGATCAATACATTGCCTTTCAGAGTAAAAAAAATTCTAAGTATGAAGTTGTACCAAACAGCCTCATGTTCAGTCTGATACGATCGTCAAAATATCGTCCTCATCATAAAAAGACATCGAAAAATAAAAGCTAAACGTTCACTTATTTCTAGAAATAAACCAAGTGGTTTGAAAGCGCGATTGAGCGTCCTTTTCCGGTCGATAGATCCCAATTTGCATAGTTGTGTACTATTCCAGCCCGGAATGAGAACCAAAATACAGAGGTCACAACTGAACTACCAAATCACAAATTACAAAGCAGTCTGCGAACTGAAGCGCCTCATTGCGATGCAGACCACCTAGTGGAGATTTACGGCTTCGCCATTCTTGATGAGATACTTAGCGTCTCTAATGTGGACTGAAAATACAACATAAGAAAACAGTTCTGAACTCGAGAAAAGACGATAAATTGAATATTTATTACCCCTGAGCTGTTCATCTTTTTGTTTCTCGTTTTTTGTTTGTGTTTCTTTGGGAATCAGGGTGGTTTACTGTTGGGGGCGCGGACGCTGCAGTTATGAAGTCCTGAGTTAGATTTTTTGACTAGAAACCAGTGGGGGTCTTAAAGACTTTCGACTATTCCATAATAGAGGCTTTTCCGCAGTTACAGACAGACAAAAAAGAATTATAAAAAAAAGACCAAGCGTTGTGTTTCGCGCGTTTGTGTTAAAAACGTGGTGGTACAATCCCCGACCAGAACTGTTGAAGTTCCTCACAGCTTCTTTTTATAATGGGCTCTTATATCTCAGATAGCAATCTTTTTCTGTTCTCAAGTGTTTGAAAAATGAATATATTATGTTTCATGGAGCAACGAAGATGAAGTAATGGTAATTTTGAATTCTCTGACCATTTCAACAAATCATTTTTATTGATGAGAGTGAAGTAAACATGATTCTATGATTGCACCAAGTGAGCAAACAGCAACGAAAGATTCAAAGACAAGCAAATTTTAAAACTGAGGTAACGGCTTCCCTGAAACAGAAACAGTGTCCACTATGCATGAGTATAAAAAAAATAAAAACGAAAAGAGGTACACTATTCCAGAACGACGATCAAATCTGTCAGTGCTTGACCCGGCCTCGTTTTCAGCGACAAAACGCACGCGATAATACCTTTATTTTCTTCTTAGGCAACCTCACAGTAACTGTTATAGGTCGTACAAAAAAGTAACTGTCCCTCGCTGATCACGCATCGGAGTTCGTGCCTTTCCCTCCCCTAATTATTCAGGAGAAACCTGTCAATCTGATTTGATCTAATCTTTATCTGAAGGCAATCGTTGGATCTATATCTGACCAGCGTGATAATTATCTTGGATTTCCTACTAAAACCTCAGCCGTGCGTGTTTCTGAACCGTGATTATTAGGAGGACTAGAGATCAACAACGCCTACAGAAAATATTCCGACTTTAATTATTATGTTTATAAAACAAAATCCAAAGCTATAACGTCCCTCGCAGCCAGGTCAAAATCCCATCCCTACACCCCCCCCCCCACAACCCATCGAACCTCGCACGCGGTGTTGTGTTACATGCTCGAACATTGTTCGGCGTTTCTTACTAAATATGGCGATATGATTTCCTCTGATAGTTAAGTTAATCATTTCAATTTTGAGACAGACGTAAACGTCTGGGAATAAGGTGGTAAACTATCTGCTTCAACATCCTGCTTTGTATAGCTAGGGTATCAGTGACAACCAGCCGACATCGAGACATGATCTCTTACGGCCGTTGCACGTTTTTGTTCTTCAGCTAGTCGATTCGGGTCGGATCGTGTCGCCTTGAGTCGGATGGGTGGGGG